GCCATTAGGGCTGTGTTGGCACTGCTGGTTTGAATCTAGACCCATGACTATGTTTTGATTTAGATTCACTAGCCATGCTGCCTGTTGGCAGAAGGCTCTGCCCAACCACTTCACCAAGAATCCAGGTACTGGAAGACCCACCAACCCTCTGAGTGCCCCCACACCCGCTGGGCCTGCTTTTGGGGTGTGCTAAGACTTTCTCTTAATTCCTCTGGAAGTAGCAGCAAGAGGGAATAAATTATAGCAGGTTGTCCAAGAACTGGATTCAAAGCATCTACGAAACATTATGTACACGAGTTTATAATCTGTGAGGAATCTCCCAAGCAGGGATCTTGCCATAATGCTTCGTACTCATGTAGCATTGTACAGACACGGCAGTAATCTTCACAAAGCCCCTGGAGGGTAGGTAAGTATTTTATCCTTGCTGAGCTGTGGAGGGGTGTTTACTGCAGGCAGCAGGGAGGGAACTGCTGCACAGAACATCTGTGCCAGGTCAGATGGGGCCCATCTCCTGCAGTACCCTCCCTCCTGGCAGTGGCCAGGAGATGGATGCTCAAACAAGCGCTTAAGCACAGGGCTGGCTTGTATCAAATCTCTCCCTGTTACTCTCACAGCCTACAGCCCTTTTTGGCTCAAGGATTTTTTGATGTGGTTGTCCCTCCTGAATGTGTTAATAACCCTCAGTATCCCTTCCATGAGACAAGGCTCCCCCTTGGAAACGCAGAAACTTTTACCATCCACTACAGCCTATTGCCAAGGAGTAGTGTGGAGACTTACTAAGCCTTGGATTCAGTCCCTAGATGTTGCAGAATGTTATTTACTTATAACTTGTGTACTGATGAAGAAATATCTACCTGCTGTGGAATACCACACCAGACATGGATGGGCCCACCCAGAAGTCCTCACTGAAGGCTTAAACTCTGTTTGAGTAGAAATTTCAAAGATGATTATCTCCTAATATTGGGAATAAAGAGAAATTATGGTGCATTCTTCAAGTGAGGGTCCAGGGTTTTAATTATCTCGATTCAGAACATGTGTATAGCACCTAAAATTTATTCAAG